AGTTTGTGTTTGGCAGAGATCTTAGGACACCTCAGTTTGGGTGATTGCAGTAATGTATGCCAATCCACATCCAGACACATCCCTCCCACATCAACAACCAGATGTGACATGCAGTTCAAATAGAAGTCATAGCACGGCCCATCAACCTACATAGTTGGAACTCAGATTGAGATCTCACTGTTGCACTTCATCCTCCTCAAATACAATAAAGTGGTTGCTGGGAGGGACTCACTGCTGCACATTGGTCACAGATGGCTGCTGTCATGATAGGGCATAGCAAAAATCATGTGCCTGGTCCACTTCATTAGTTAAGTGATTATCAGATCATTCCTCATGGGTATGAGAAGCTTATAGGAGACATTATGTGCTACAGGGAATAAAAACAATTGTGATTAGTTTTTTTAAACAATTACATTCCTTGAAGGATTACAAATTACCTGATGAAAGCAAATATTTTAAACACAAAATCATGTGTGATTAAGTAATTAAGGTGTTCTGTAAGGGTGATGAGCTACGTACATCAGACATCTTGAATCAAATGGTTTAGTAGTTTTTGAGATATTTTGCTAACAGACAGATATGGTTTAATTTAAAATTCTATGCTAAATTTTCAAATAAAATCAAATAATCTATCCTCATTTGGAGGATGTGTTGAGAATGATTCTCAGCTACTACCACACCATAGCTCATTACTTGTAAAACTGACAAAGCTGCATGGCTTTTTTGTGTTTGCAAACGTCAACAGCTGTGGCAACCATTTTTAATCTGGTGCAGTTGCATGATTGCCTGCTTTTCACTGCAGCAGCCAATAACAACAAAAATAATCAATGCTTTAATTTACTTAAATTACAGGGCTCTTTCAAATCCTATACATGCTGCAGACAAGCTGAACCACAATGTTCAGTGGAAGAATAAAACAATGCAGGGAGGCAGTTATGACCTGTATCAGTCATTCATAATCAGCATCATCATCACATTGTGCACAGCATCTACAGTAGTTAGCTCTGTTCAGCTGAAGCCTTCAACTGAAACCTGGAATTCATAGTATTTCACCTGTTTCTGACATTAGAATCTTAATAAAGTGTGTCATGCTCCAATGAATCATCAGCATCTGTCATATGAGAAAAAAAAAACTGAGTCATGATTAATCTAGATGCTAGTTTTGTCACAATAAAATCCAGGAAAAAATAATTTTAGTAGTATATTATACAGGCTGCATTCTAGAAAAATGTTGAGGTTATGCTGTGTGGTCTGAAAAGTTATTGCAAAATCAATAGTTCCCGTGAGGTTGTGCAAAAATTTACATCCTGTCATTTCCTGACTGCGGTTTCCTCACCGAGATTAAAAACTTCACAAGGTCAGTGAGTCATAAAGACAATTCAAAGCAACGCAAGGAGAAAAAAATGTTCATAATAAACTCCATTATTGCCAAGGCTGGTCATTTTAAAAAGTAACAAAACTGAAAAATGATGTTGCCACATTCGTTACAGCTACTTCCATACACTTCTCAGTAGATGTTTTAAGTGGGCTTCTGTGAAAAGATTTTGAACAATCCGTATTTTTCCTGTTGTATGTAGCACTTTTTTCTGTTTTTTTTTTCTTCTGGGTGAGCTACAGGCWAGTTTGATTAACACCAGTTCCAAATTAGATTTATGATGTCCTCAAACACCTTTAGTCTCTGTAATTACACAGTGGGTTATCTGAAGACCTTTTTTATTTTTACATTAAAATCACATTGCATGGTCATTCACACATAATTCTGATGCTATTCATAAACTGCTATTTCCAACAAGCTGTTACCTTGTCAGACTAGTCAGAATTCACTTCCTATTTCTCCAAATCTAAGTTGTTCAAAGAGCTATAGACAGTGTTGCCAGATCTTGTGACAGAAACAAGCAATCAGCTCTATGAAAACAAGGCCAAAATAAGCCCAACTAGCAAACCACCACATTGTGTAAAATAAAGGTAAATTATAACAGTCCTGTATAAACGTACTGTATATGGTACATTTATCATTGCATTAAACAGCAAAACTATGCTACAGCAAAACTATGATAAAAATACCATAAAAATGAACAACTTCATTTGGTTTGAATAATTTAAATTATTTTAAAAACATATACTTTTAAACTTTGATCATAAAAAGTGCATTTTGCAGCAAAATACAGTCAACAAAAACTCCCAAAAATATTTGTGTGCTCTTTTTTCCTCACTCTTTAATATATATTTTCCCCATATTTTCCTGACTTACTGCATCTCATTCTCACTCTGTTTGTCACTTATATCCAGAGGTKAAGAAGTAGTTTTACTGATCTAAAAAAAAATGGCTCTGGCCCATATTGTTCTCTCTCACTCAATTCAATTTAATCAGCAAATTCCAAACAAATTTAAACTTATCAATATTTTATTGTACTGTAGTTGTATCCCAATGTAAGTAGTGTATTTTATTTATTTAGTTTTTGTCTGTGCACCACCTGTGTAAAATRTCCCAGTCCATTAAATCGAGCACACCAATCCCYGCTGTGTTTTAGAAGTAGACACATGTGTGCTGTATCAAATCTCCTGTCATAAGTTCTGAACCGGACCGGACCGCACTGCCTCACCCCTGCTTGTTTCTCCATCACTCTGGGCACTGGTGTGTGTTTGAAGTGTGCCGACTCAACTCGGGCCGGTGCGACAACCAGGAAATGGGGGAATTGTGGGGACAAACCTACTTCTCCTTGCGTTCTGCTTCAACAGGAGCAGGGTTAAGCATGTCATTTGGAAAGAAGGACAAGCCCAAAATAAGCAACTCACGTTCATGAAATAAGCCCAAAAAACTGCAATCCGCGACTCAGAATTTACAAGCGTCTCTAGAAAAAAGAAGCCCAAAGTCGCTTATATAATAAGCGGACCTGGCAACACTGGCTATAAAGCAGAAAAAAATGAGTGTTTGCAACATTTCTACACCTTACTTCAAACGATCTGAAATATTCTTTGAAATGATTAATGAGTATCACACTAGGATAACTGCATGTCAATAACCAATCATGATTGCTACATATCRCTGTACATATTCAGCTGAGAACCCATAAGCAAACAAATGATCTTGCACCTCATGCTATTGTGCAACATGTATAAAGTAGCCTGTAGGTTTTTTGCTCATGGCATGTTCTCCAACTTTCTCTTTTCAKCCCAAATAAAGAATTAAATATATGATTATCAGTACAGTATTAATGAACTGATTTAAATCTGTCACATACAGTAACAAAAACAGTAAACAACAGTAAAATGTAGTTACTCATTCAAAGTCTTCTTTTAAATCACATGAACACAAAGTTGACAAATGGAATTCGCTACATGAAAATTAAATGTAAGTGTGCTTCAGAATGTTTAAGAAAGTTAAAATGGTTTGCTCAGACTACCCATACTTGAAAACATTGTGAAAATTTGTGTGACATTGTATTTTAACATCATTGCTGTCAGTGAAAATGTTTGCTGACAGGTAACGGCAGGTGTTGAGGCAAATAGACAGTGACCTGAGAAGCATACATGTGTTTAAGTAATAAAAACACAACAACTAATATCAGTGGCTAAATATACTGAATAAGAACATAAACATTTAATAAGCAGGTTGCTGGAACATTTCTTCTTTCAATGCACAATAGTGAAGACTGAAATTATTATTTTATTACCCACTAAAACAATAGGGGTGCTAGTGACATAACATGGCATGTGGCATTTCCAAAAGTGGAAATTATGTGAGGGGATAAGCGTCTTTAGTTGATCAGAAAGAAAATAAAGGTTCATGTTCAAATGCTATTTTT